AGTGGGTTATGATAAAAAAATCACCCTGTATATATAAATATATATATATATATATATATATATAATATAAAATATATATAAGAAAACAGACATATTGTTACAAACAATGAGAACAATAGAAACATGCTTCCTTACTTATTGATTGCCCTATATATATAAAATAGAACTAGAAGTACTTTTAAGTTCAGTTATTTATAAATTCAGTGTAATTGTGTTATGTGAAATATGGCTGCGCTAGATTTGGAAAAAATTATAATGAGTAATTTTAAAACTATTAATTATTTAGGTGTCTTTAAGAAGTGATAGGGCCACACTTTTTGTTAAAAAAATCACTTAATATTATACAAATTGATTAACAAGTGTTGTTAAGTAGCATTTAATTTACATTGTATTATAAAAGCAGGTTAATTAATATTTTCTTTAATTTCCATTTATAAATCATCAGATGTTAATTTAGAAAATTGCTCGAAAAAATTACATATTTATTTATTTAGAAATTAATTTTTTTTTCAAAACTTAATGTTTCCAATAAATAAGACAATTACAAAAAGTCTTAAGTAAAATTGATTAGATTAATAAGTAAAATTTAATAAAGTAATACATAAACTTTATTTACAAAAAAATAGGTATAAGATGTATTCTTTTAGGTAAACATTGGACTTTTATCTTAAATCGAAAAATTTCATTAGATTACATAACCAAAATTGAATGTGAAAATAAAATGATGTAATTTTTTATTATTAATTAATCGAAATAGTTTATATACAAAAAATAATCGAAATATTGAAAATTTATTTTATATACTTGAAATAGTAATCTTAAAGATTGAATTATAACATAAAAATATGAACATTTTTATAATCTATAAAATGTGTCCAATTTTATTTCTATGATTTTAAAACACGTAAAATTATCGAAGATATTAAAATCATCAACTATTGGTTTATAACTATATTAACTCCATTCGGGGCTTTATTTACTTCAAGATGATCTTGAATCTTTAGTTTCTTAAGATGGTGGTATTGGTTTTGAA